AGGTTTATATATAAAAGAAAAGTTTACTGAATCAGTGAAATTAAGTAACCATTTCTGCTGTCATAGTCATATACAAAAAAAAAAAAAAAAAAAAATGTAACCTCATATACATACTTAAACTTAATGTTAAAATAATCCTACATAATATAATGGATTCTAATACATTTAACTGTTCTTAAAAAGAATATAGTAAAATAAAAATTAAAAAGGAAAATATTTCAAATCGTAGTTAAATAAAAAGTATTGTAAAAAAAAAATCTTTAATTTTAAAAGATGACGTTGAAAATTTTTTACCGTTAACAATTTTTTTTTTTTTTTTTAAATTCAGACGACATCCATTCAACCGACGTCAGGTTTCAGTGTAAAATACATCCTCACCCCTTACCAAAATGTAGCTAATAACTGATACAATGATACTGTCATAAGGAAAATCTAGACACCCCGTGTTCAATTTGAGTAGAATATTCTGTAACCATGGAAACGTGATTTTAGCTGTGTATTTAAAACCCGGTAAATTTTAAAAGTTACTCCAAAATTCGCTTGAAGATGAAATGGAACTAATGCTTTTAATTTATTTGCAAAAAATAAAATTAGGGTTTTTAGCTTCTATTTTTGAAACATGGTTGGAACTGTGTAGCGAAAATAACCATATTTTAAATCAATTAATTTATAATATTAATGCTCTGTAAATTTACATTGAGCACTATTTTGTAAAAATAAAATATCTATAAGAACACCGGATTTTATATCTTACTGTTCTTTCTTTTTTTTATATACATATATATATATATATATATATATATATATATATATATATATATATATATATATATTTTGATCTTAAAGGATTTTATATTTATTTTATATAATAATATATATATATATATATATAAAATAATAAGAAAGAACAATAATTATATTTATAATCTGGTGTTCTTAGCAATTATTTTTATTTTTTAAAAAAAGTGCTTGACACAAACAGTGGAGCATTATATTATAATTATTTTCTTTTTTAAAAATATGATTCCATCATGACACAGAAATTTCTATGTTTCAAAACTGTAACTAAAATTGTAAATTTAATTATAAAAATTAAACTTAAAATCCAGTTTTGTTCCATTGTCAAGCAATGCTAGGAATAACTTTCAAAGAAATTTACTTAATTTATAAGCACAGACAATCTTAATATTTTGAGGTATTAAGGTTAAGGAAAATTCAGTCTTTTTGACTAGGGGTGGTTGGGTTTTAATTTCCCTAGACAACTTATGTATAAAATATATCTTACTTACAAAGTCAGGTTAAGTTTAGGTGGGGTGGGTGTGCCTGTTAAATATAGTCATCTGTTTTCATTGTGTCATCTAAGTTTCCAATGAGAAAAAATTTTAGCATTATTATTTATCTGCTTAATTCATATTTTTATACACAAAGATTTTCTAAAAGGGTCATCTAAATATGAGTAAGTCATATTATTAATATTTAAATTTTATTCCTGCAAATTTAAACTACCATTCCCCCTTTTAATAACTAATAAACTATACAGTATTTTTACAAATAAATATATTAGAAATTATTTCGTATGTAAAAAAATTATTAATTAATGATGAAGTATAAATATGTATGTTTCACCTCTCTTTTTTTTTAGATTTATTTTTCCAAAATTGATTATTACTTAAGGAAAATATTTGAAAGTGCCTACAAAAAAAAGCAATTTCATTTCTTTGATTTAGCAAATTTTTATTTTTCAGAAACTTAGCAATGAATAATATTTCATGTATGCACAAAGGACATGCGTCATTTAAACTCTAGCTTTTCTTATTAATTTCCATTTTACTGCTGGTGTTTTATTGGTTTCTTTTAAGTGCTAGAAATATTTAGATAGGGATGTTTGATTTTGGTATTTATTATTATTAAAGGACATTTGATGTTGGTTCCACCCTCTTTTGAAATCATTCCTTGTGCATCCAATGTAGATTTTAACCGTGTCATTATAAAACAACTGATTCTATACAACATTATTATTAAGAGGACAGTTTTGAGGAGTTCTACAGTTACATAATTTTTCTTTATCTTTATTTCTTTTTATCTTAGGATCTATATTTTTTTGATTTTGGTATAAGTGTTTATTCAAGATATTAACATTATGTTTCTTAATAATCATTTCTAAGTTTTCAGTACAACTGTAACTTAATTTTAGGGTATTTTTATTTAAAAAAAAACTACTGAGTTTACTAACTCTAAGAAAAAGGTTTATCAATTAATGCAAGATATTTTTGTCCTAACTTATTTCTTAACATTTGGTGGGCTGTATACCAAATGATTTTTCTATTTCTATTTTTTTTTGGGGGTCCATCTTCATTTTTTATATAATTGAGTTTTGGGTATTTATATAAATTTCTGTGTTGTGATGGAATCATATTTTTAAAAAAATATCATTCTAATATATATATATATATATATATATATATATATATATATTCCTTTTGTATCATATATATATATATATATATATATATATATATATATATATATATCCCTTTGTATTAAAGATTCGTTTTCTTTTTCCAAATTCATTCGGAATTGTGATGCCACTGATGGATTTATGTGTTCCTTTGACATCTGTATCCTTTTCACTTGTGTTCCTTTATCGGAGACTATTGATATTTGCAGTGATATGTTATATCGTAGTGATTTGACTCCTCTGAATATACCTGAAGAAGTGTTCGTTGAACTCATGAAATTCGCCACCATGTTTGTCGATTTCAGTTTTGACAATATCATGTATCGTCAGATCGATGGTGTAGCAATGGGTTCCCCTTTGGGTCCTGTGTTGGCAAATATTTTTGTGGGTTTTTACGAGGAAAGCCTTTTGTTAGGTTCTGCCCAGACCAAGGTTTACTTTCGGTATGTGGATGACACTTTTTGTGTGTTCAGCCATGAATCGGAAGTGGATCAATTTTTTTCCCTACTCAACGGTGTTCATCCAGCCCTTAAATTTACAGTAGATAAGGAGGTCAATGGTTCATTGCCCTTCTTAGATGTTCTTGTTCAAAGAACTCCTTCCTCGTTTATTACCTCTGTTTACAGGAAGTCTACTTTTACTGGTCTATATACTCGATGGGACTTTTTTGTCCTAAACGACAAAAGATAAATTTGATTAGGACCCTGATACATAGGGAGTTAATGATTTGTTCGGGTGACACCTTGAAGGATGAAATCAGTTGTTTAACTGAGATCTTTGTTCAATCGCTTATTCGAGATAAGACTTCAGCGGGTAAATGTCCGGTCTATCTTTGTTTACCGTGGTTGGGTAGGATTAGTGAATCCTTCGCCAAGCCTATTTCATGTAGTTCACGTGAGTGTTATTTTGCAGCGAACGTTCGTGTTGTCTTTCAAACTAAGTCCCTACTTTCATCTATGTGTAAAGATAGCATATTAATTCTGTTATTTACCATTTCAAATGTCGTTGTGGATGCGACTACATAGGTAGAACGACACAGCGGTTGGACGTTAGAATTAAACAACACGTACCTGCTATAATACTGAATAAAAATTTTTTCTTTGGGCGATACCATTCGTAACACGTATGGGTCTTCGATTGCGGATCACTTTATAAAGAATCCCACTTGTGCGATGGATTTCAGTGTGAACTGGTTTTCCGTTTTGGCCAGTTCGCCCTCATTATTCCATCTTAAGGTGTTGGAGTCGCTTTACATCCAGGCAACCTGCTCTTTGTAAACAAAGAGATTATTTGCTTGGACTTGCTGTGCTACGCTTCTAGCATCTTGGTTGGTATAATTTTTATAATAATTTTTTTTTCTCTCCCTGTCCACTCATTCATGTCATCCATGACAGACTTTTTCTTTCTTTTTTTTTCTCCTCATAATTTTAGTTCCCCGTTAACAGTTCTGATGAGAGGGGACGAAACCGGTCGACTGGTGTGTGTTTTTATTTTAAATCTATCATGGCCTACAATATAAAATTTCTTGCTTTTTATGCCTTAATACGCTTCTGTTTCAAACATATTTATATTTATATATATATATATATATATATATATATATATATATATATATTCTATTTAAGATAATTAAATATTATCAATTTTAATTCCAGTACAAGTAACGCCATTTGGTCAACCCAAAACTGCAAAACCAACTTTGACAGGTGAAAAACTAGCTAAATATAAATATATGGTTGCCTATAAGGGTGTGAACTACTTGTTTAACAATCAGTTAGTTCAAATCCTTATTGATAATTGTCTATATGTACTTTGCAACCTGCATTATATAATGAATGTTCTGATCTTGGATTCGAAAATGTTTCAACTGAATTTCTGATATTACTGTACGTGTGTTTAGTTCTATTTTTCCTGATGACTTTGTCAGACATCTTGCTTGGACCTTCCATGTGATATAATTCAAATTCATGATTTTCCTCATTTTCTTGGAGCCCATGAAAACTTTTGTTTTATAACACTTTATACTTTGATATACTTTTATCACACTTTAGACTTTGATATACTTTTATCACACTTTAGACTTTGATAGGAAGAAAAACACTGACTCTATATTATCTCATTTGAAATTTATGCCCAGATTGATTATGTTAAGATTGAAAATGAGATTAGTAATAATAAGTATAAATTCTAAATTAGGGAGATGCAGATTTTGAAAATGTAAGCAAGAAGGGAATGATGAAATATAAAGGGGGGGGGTAACTCTATTTTATTCCGAAAATCAAAAGAGTAATTACTACTATTAATTAATATTAATATTAAAAACTAAAATGAATGATATCATTAACAAAATATGCCAGGTTAAAATAAATTACTAATGAAAATAATAATGCATATTGTAGCGGGCGGTCCAGTGGCCCCGTTTCACAGAAAGGGGGTGAACAAGGTCACAAGAGGCCCGCTAACATTTTTGAAGACGTTAAATCTGACAGTGAAACAATATGGACAACAGAACGAGGATATGTATGATATATAGAGGTTTATTCTAAAAGGAAAAGGAAATGAAGATGGTCGGAAACGGTGGAGGTGCTGGAAGCTGCAGGAGTGAGCTGGAAGCTGCAGGAGTGAGCTGGAAGCTGCAGAAGTGAGCCGGATGCTGCAGGAGTGAGCCGGAAGCTGCAGGAGTGAGCCGGAAACTGCAGGAGTGCTGGATGCTGCAGGCATGGATGGTCGAGGTTGGCGTTGGTAGTTGCTAGGATCATCGTTGTTGGGGGTTGGAGCTGATGTGGGTTGTTGCCAGGATGATCGCTTGGTGATTTTGAAGTTGATGTTGGTTGATGCCAGGATGATCGTTGTTGGTTGAAGCTGAGTCGTTGCCGGGGTGCCAACTATTTGCTGTAGTTCGTGTTGCCAACTCGTTGTTTGTCATTGCCGGGATGCCAACTTGACGTGTAGGGAAGGAGAGAGAGAGAGAAAGTTCCCAACTATCGTCAAGTTGGCAGACAAAAAAAAGGTGGGAGCGTAACTTAATACACAGCCCGTACATCGGCGTCCTTGGCCAATGAAGGCTAAGGGGCCTGCGTAGCCGACCGTTTCGGCCGCCGACCGCCTCCGAGAATCTAGGGAGAAATCACTGTCTTGTGACGAGGGGGACCAGCAAGAGAAATTGGCTAAGCTAACCAAAAAGTCTCTATAATAAAATACTACAAGGTTAGCTAAAGAGAACTAATGTCTAAAAATGACTAGTAGTATATTACAACTAGTTTTGTAATTTGGCCTAACTAAAAAGGGGATTTGCAAGTCCCTCTGACGTGTTAACAGTGTGTAAGGAGCATGAATGAGAGGTCAAGGTCGAAATGACCTGTTCCTCTGCAGGTTCAAGGATAGAAAGAGGAGGTAACTCCGACAATACCTCCCACCAGATTAAAAGTTGTAATGAAATGTCAACTTTTAATATACATAAGAAAAAAGGTTCATGAAAGGTTTTGATTATTGTTCTTGTGAACTGAAAAGAAAATGTGTCAGAAGTGTGGTTGAGATGCGTGATTCACGAAATGTGCTTGTATTGTCGTCAGGGTGCAATTGTTGAAAAATGTTTTTCGAAACAGTGAGTCGTCCGAAAAAAAATAGTGTGAAGTATGGGAAGCAAGCGGTGGCGTGAAGATGTTGCCACGTGGTGTAGGAAAATGTATGCGCGCGCTTTATGAGTTTCAGGAATGAAGAAGATGCGAAATGCTATGACCAGTAGCATGTGTTGGAAGAAAGCGGAATTTGCAATATTAATAGCGACGAATTACGTGCATGCAAATCCTCAGTGATGTCGCATCGTAATGGAACAGTGAGTCGTCCAGAGAAAGATGTAGATTCATTCCTGTGAAACTTGTGTGTCGCTTCCAAAAGTTGTTTTGAAAATAAAGGACAGTGGGTCGCCTCTAGTGGTTCGGAATCACCAATCGTATGTAGTGGAACAGTGAGTCGTCCAGTGGTTTGGGTTCACACTTTATCTGTTTCAGTCCAGAAGAGGTGTTAGTTCGTAGAAAATGGTGTTGCAGGTCTGCTGGTTGCTAAGTGTTGAATATGCCTCGTTTGCGTTGTATCGCCATATTGTCCAGCCAAATCAGATCACGTCGGGGTCACCACTTGTTAGCAGGGCGGTCCAGTGGCCCCGTTCACCCCTTTCTGTGAAACGGGGCCACTGAACCGCCCGCTACAATATCAATGAAAAGAAAATAATTTAAAATAAAATAAGAAAAATATGAAGTAAAATGGATAAAACTTTCGTACAAACATGCTACATCAGTGAAACAGCCATTTAAATATTGAATGCGTTGTCCATACTGCTATTTATGATATTTCTGATTTGTCAAATATTTTGTGTTATCTTTGTAACAATGATTACATGCTTAGTTTGCAAAACGTGTATAACTGTCAATTAATAATATTCTTCTGTTAAGTGAATCTGAATTATTCACAGGTTCAACAATTATGTGGTCAATAGTTAGCTCCTCCTTATTGTTCACTAGGGAGTCGCACTTCCTACAATATAAATACTGGGCAACTTCCTGCCTCGTTCTTTTCTACTTTGCATAGTTATTTATTCGCATTTATGTACAAAATGTGGCACAAGGCCAAAAAGGGGGTTGGGGAAGGACGGTCTTCTTCTGTCTTAATTCTAAACTTAGCTAGTCACAAACACGGACCCAAACATACCAACAATAGTCCTATCACCAAAACAAGACATTCACTCCTACCTTTCTTACTACGTCCACCATAATACCTCAAATTCTCTATGAAATCCTAACTAGTCCCCATATGTACATTTTAAAGTCTGTGGTGGGAGGGGAAAAACAACAATTTAAAAAACCCCAATGGTTATTTACAATATGAATTATTACTATTTACATAAAACAAAACAAAATAGGGTTAGTAATAGAACCCCCCACCCCACAATCCCTAAATGTGGCATAAACATCAGTTAACTGGACGAAATTGTTGGGGACGTGCAGAATTTATTAATTATGCTTGAAAGAATCAGAAGGAATTTGTGTAGGTTGCGTGACTTTCTGCATCCACAACAAATAAACGAATTTTAAAATACGATTAAGAACGAGACATATTCAATTAGAAACTAATATAACATTTATATACAATTCAAAAACAATATACAAACAGGATAATTGATATATGTTATGTTGGCGAAATGTGTATGAGGTTTTTTTTGTTTTTTTTCAGAATGTCTCTTTTTGTAATTGTTCGTTCATTTACAGTCTTTTTAAGTTTGTGTTGATATTAATAATTGTCGATATTAAGTGTCTTTTTTAGAAGGAGTTTTTAAGAGTGATCTACCTTTAACTGTAATGTAATGTTTTTTTAATGTCGTTCGCACGTTGATGTTTAGCGAATATAATTCACTTTAGATAAGCAATGTTGAGAATTCATATCCACACAGTTGATTCAATTTTCGATCGGGAATGAGTCAGCGATGATGTATCTTTGCGGTAAAATCGTGATTTCGAGTGACGTGGAGTATTTTGGCAAGTTCTCCGTGGGTGTTTGTTACTGACTGCCTGGGGCGGTCAGCGTTTATTTTTATAAGGCCTGAAAGTCCGAAGGTGGCTCACTTGAGTTTTGGCGCAATTTCGTTCTGCACGTGAACTTTCAGTGATGAACCAATGAGATTGGTTGTTTCGCTTAGTGCAGTTTTAATTGGTTGAAGTTTTCCGTACGTAGGCGTAAGATATAGACTGTTCTGTTGCTAGGGTTGAAAGGTAAGGATAAAAGGACGAGTCTACAATACCCCCCCCTAGATTAATGGCTATTGTCAATTGGCATTAATATGTAATGTATGTGCGAAACTTAGCTGGCCAATGAACATGTCTGCCCGATTTCGTGCGGGTAGATTGGGTTGATGGAGACATGTCTTTAGTAGTCGTTTGTGTATTTGATTGCTCTGGTGTTGTTGGGTTTGGTGGTGTTTGAATGACGTCATCACACTGTACGTATGCTGGTTTGAGTCTGTCGATGCTGACAGTATTTTGTTTACCAGCAACGTCTATTACGAAATATTTAGGTGTTCTGGAGATTACCAGATGTGGTCCAGTATAGTTCGGTGTTAGAGGTTTTCGAACGCAGGAAAACATATTCTGAGGAATTTAAGTCTGTTGGCACGTAATATGGTTTCTTGTAAACCCGTGTGGGCGTATATATTATTTCCGTCATTTTTTGTTTAAGATCGGACACAAAATAACTGTTAGGAGTAGAATCCGTAACATTGTAAAAAATTTGTCCTGGAAGGGTTGTTGGTTTCCCGAATACCAACTCCGCACTAGTACATTTCAGATCTAGTTTGATTGTATTTCGTAGCGCAAGCATCACAAATGGTAGTTTGTCTACCCACGTACGAGCACTGGTAGACGCTGTTAATGAGTACTTGAGCTGTCGATGAAAACGTTCTACTAATCCGTTGCTGCAGGGATGATATGCCTTAGTAGAATTGTGTTTAATTGACGAAGCAAATTGACGAACTCAGTAAATAAAGTCGACTGGAATTGAGGTCCTCTGTCGGTAGTAATAACCGCAGGGCATCCAAATATTGAAATCCAATTCTGAAAGATAGCGTTGGCTACCGCTTCTGCTGTTATCGTTGATAGCGGTACGGCCACCGGCCATCGTGTGAAGCGATCTACGATAGTCAGGATATATTCGTATCCATTGATCCTGTCAAGCGGACCCACAAGGTCGGCGTATATATGAGTAAAACGACCATCAGGGGCCGCAAAGGCTGACGATGGTGCTTTCGTATGACGACTTATCTTTGTTGCCTGGCAACGCTGGCACGTGCGGGACCACTGTTTCCCCTTCGGAAGCCATACCGGGCCAGACGAATCTGTCAGATATGGTCCGCAGCGTAGCCTTCGCTCCAGGGTGAGCTGGTGAATGAAAGTAGTCGAAAACCATTTTTCTCATCGACGGACGCAGGTAGGGTCGAGGGTTGCCTGTTGAAGTATCACAATAAACAAGCTTGTCGGTGAAAGGTAGTGGACGTCTTTCTAATTTCAGAGAGGTATCTGCCTGTACTGAAGGGAGTGTGTCGTCACTCAACTGTTCTTCAGCAAGTGTGTCGAATTCGATTGAAGATGATTGTATCACGTCAAGTGTAGGTCTCGATAATGCATCTGCAACAGTACTATTATGTTGACCTTTTACGAACCGAATGTCCGATGTAAATTGACAGATATAATCCAAGTAGCGAATATCTCTCGGGTTTAGTTTATCGGACTTCGCGTGCAGTGCATACGTTAACGGTTTATGATCTGTGAGAATGATAAAGTCTCTACCCTCAAGGATGTGTCGATAATGCCGTATTTCCAAATAAACAGCAAGTAATTCTCTTGAAAAAGTACTATATTTGTTCTGTGTAGCATATAGCTTTAATGAGAAAAAAGACAAAGGTGTTTCGATGCCATCAATAATTTGGTGCAACGCAGCGCCAATTGTGTCAGCTGATGCATCTGTCGTTAAGGTGAGGTTAGCTTTCTCCGATGAATTAATGTAAGTTAGTTTGGTACAGTTCTGTAGTGCATCTTTTGCATTTTGAAATGATCGTAGCTCATCTTGTGATAGTGATATCTGCGAATTTTTTTTCTTATGCAGAGACAAGATATTCGTCAGTGGTAATAAAATTGACGCACAATTTGGGATGAACTGTCGATAATAGTTAACCATCCCCAAAAATCTCTTCAATTGCTTCAATGTGGAAGGTTGAGGGTAATTAGCGATCGCCGTAATTTTCTGATCCAAGGGAGACAATCCATGCTGGTCTAAAATATGCCCGAGGAAAGTCAAACTCGGTACTGCGAAAACGCATTTATCAATATTTAGTTTTAAACCGTAGTGTTGTAATCTTTTGAGAACTGCATGCAGATGTTCACGGTGTTCTTCATGAGACTTGCTTGCTATGAGTACGTCATCTATATAAGCATATGTGTTGAGCATTCCGCGTAGAACTTCGTCTATTAGCCTCTGGAAAGACTGCGCCGCGTTACGCAATCCGAAGGGCATTCTCGTAAATTCGAAGAGTCCGAAAGGCGTTGTAATAGCAGTTTTCGGAATGTCATTTTCCTCGATGGGAATCTGGTAATATGCCTTTTTAAGATCGAGCTTGGTGAATACTTTAGCACCTTCTAGCGAAAGGGCGAAATCTTTAATATGTGGGATTGGGTATTTGTCCGGGACGGTCTGCGCGTTTAGTAACCTGTAGTCGCCGCACGGACGCCAACTAGCTGAGTCAGCTTTAACAACCATATGTAGAGGGCTGTCATAAGGACTGTCATAAGGACGGATTACACCAAGTTTGAGCATGTTGTCAAATTCGTCACGAGCTATTTTTAGTTTACTCGGATGGAGTCTGTGAGGTTGAGAATGAACTGGAGGCCCTGTGGTCTTAATACTATGAGTGGCGTGGTGTTTCACAGGTTCATTATGTGTTGACGGTGAAGGTAGCGATTGGTACTGACGTATTATCTCGTCGTAGCCATTGGCTGTAGGTATAACAGTCGTCAGACCGATTGTCGAATACTTGGAAATGAAACCGTAACGTTGTAGATTAGTGCTAGTGTCAGTTAAGGTTTGTGACGCCAACTCAACCGATAATTTGTAATGGGTTAGGAAGTCCGCTCCTAATATCGGCATTGAGACATCTGCGATAGTAAAAATCCACGTAAATTCTCGTCTCAGGCCGATGTCTAGCGTTAGGGTTCGCTCGCCGTACGTGATGATCGGAGTGCCATTAGCGGCCTGTAATTTGAAAGATGTATGCTTAACCAGAGTCTGTTTGCTGCAATTTTTGAGAGGCAGGACACTTATTTGGGCACCGGTGTCAACTAAAAATTTTAAACCGCTCGCTCTGTCGTGGATGTAAAAGAGACGATTAGTTTTTAAATGTCTGGCATCCAACGTCTCTACTGGGTGCCAGCGGGTCCGTTTCCCGCTTGTTTGTTTGGAAATTACTTTTTTATACGAACATGGTGGTCGGCATTTCTTCGCGCGCGCGCCAAAATTTTCGTGGTACCAGCAATTGGCATGTTGGTAACGATCACGGCGTTGTTGGTATTTATGGCGAGACGTCGATCTTGAACCACGGTTACTGTGTCGCGTAAAATTATCACGCCGACTTTCATGTGGTTTTTGTAAATCACGCAATTGTAGAGATATTTCTTGCAATTCTGAAGACAATTTTTGAATCTGTTGGTTGACATCTGGCACAAGGCCATCCATGGTCTCCGTTGAGGAAATCTATCGTATCGGGGTAGTATCGGCTATTTTGTCCGCTATATTAACGTCGTCTGTTAATGCAGCCAAGATTCGTACCATGTAATTTGTCCAGCCACATTTGGCGGAATACTGTGGCTGATATGTTGTTGTCGCCCAACAGTTGTTGCATGCGTCGTAGTAATTGGGACGGTTTCGAATCTCCAATTGTAACGTTTGTTAAGAGGTCTCTTATTTTCCTTTTCTCCGAAAAACCAGATCGGTGTAGTATTGCTTGTTTAAGGGTCTCGTACGGCTTGTCTATTGGTAGAGAGGTTAATATGTCGGCTACTTCAGCCGCTACCTCCGCGGGTAGCTTCTCTACCACGGACGCAAATTTTGATTGCTGCGAAGTTACGTGTCTGGCCTGGAATATCGCGTCCAGTTGTAAGAACCACGTCTGAACGTTTGAGTTGAAAGCAGGCATTTCAAGTCTGACGTGTGGAGAAGTTAATTTGATTTTTCAATTTCAACTGAGAAGGGTACCTACAAGTATCAATATCATCCTATGAAATTTAAATTTGTATTTTATGTACACTTCTGATAAAATTTAATAAGAAAGGTACCAATAAATTAATTAGATACCTTTCTTATGAGATTTAATCTATAGTGGGTCAGCCAATTTGTATTGGTTATAAATAGAAATAAAAACTGACCCTCTACAATTTTTACAATATCAAATGTAACAAAGACAACAACAAGAGAAATAATCAAGTAGAAGAAAATGTGAATTTGTTCAACAATAAATATTTTTTTATAAACACAACAAATACATAATATATAGTGCAAAAGTTGATAAACACAATAGAGTTCTTTGGTGTGTGTGTTACTGAAAGAATTTGAGCTACTGTACTGTATGTGTGAAAATGACAAGGTTTAGTTAGCTATATTTGTTTTTATAGTTAAATTAAACAGATTTTTTTTGTGTATTAAATAGAAAAAAGTATTGTTCTTGACTCACTGATTGTTATCGCTCATTAACCAGAGATTCTTGTGGAATGGAATATTTTGTGGGAGTGAGCGTTAAGCCTGGAGATGGTTGACAAAGTTTGTTGTTGTATTGAAGATAAAGTTCGCCTCCTTTGCTGTGTTGATTCCAATGAAGTCAAGTGAATTAGTTTCAATATTTTAAGTGCCCACTGACCACGTCGCGTCGAAGTTTCGTTTTTATTAGTTCTCTTGGTCACGTGGGGAGGCTCGTAAACATGTTTACATTTTATGGCGTCAACTAGAGGTCAAAATTTGGGTCGGTACCTTCGGACGTAGTTGACGCCACCTAATTAATATTTTACAACCAATCAAAATACATCAGTTGTTATATTTGGCTGGGAGCCTCTATGTGTTTAACTTGCACAAAATTTAAGATTTAAAAAAAATGTAGGACTCTGATTCTACAATAACCCCCCGGCAGATTGTGAAAGTTTTTGAGAGAAAATTTTCTCAATATGTAATATACGTTTTAAATCTACTAGGCCAATGAACATGTCTGCCAGACTTAGTAGTAACTTCCGCGGGTGGTACTGAAGGTGCAAGCTGCGCTGGCTGGAATCGAATATGTTAGCTCAGGGTCAGGAAGCGATTTATGAGATAAATCGATGTAAGCCGGTTTCAACCGGTCGACTGACACTGTGTTAGGCTTTCCGTGCAAAAAGTTAAGTAAAATACTTGGACGTTCTATTAATTACTTTATGTGGACCAGAATACGTGGGGGTTAAGGGTCTTCTAACTGCATCTTTTCGCAGGCAGACGTAATCACAACTGTCTAAATTTTTTTTTTCGGCATAAAGAACTCCCTTGTTTGGGCACGCGTTGGAGTAAAAGCTAGGTTTTCCATTTTTTGTTTAAAATCCTGGACGAAATAGGTAGTCGGTCTGGAAGGAGTATGCTTTTCCACGAACTGTCCAGGGAGTGTTAGCGTACTCCCAAAAACTAGTTCTGCTGTAGTGCATCCTAAGTCCTCTTTGACTACATTTCTTAATGACAGTAAAATCAGTGGTAGGTTTTCCAGCCAAGTCCTGGAGTCATCACTTGCTGCTAGTGCTGCCTTAAGTTGCCTATGAAATCGTTCCACAAGGCCGTTTGCACATGGATGGTAGGCGGTTGTAGAAATGTGCTTTACGCCTAACAAGTTTATAAATTCATTGAAAAGGACTGACTGGAACTGGGAACCTCTATCAGTGGTTATTATTGAAGGACAACCAAAGATAGAGATCCACTCTCTAAGAATGCACCTGGAAATCGTTTCCGCTGAAATACTTTTTAAAGGAACGGCTCCAGGCCAACGAGTGAAACGATCGATTATTGTTAATAAGTATTGGTACCCATCAATGTCGGGCAAAGGGTCCACTAAGTCAACGTGAATGTGGGTGAACCTACCATCAGGCTTAGAGAATGTACCAGGCGGAGACTTGGTATGCCGTTGTATTTTAGTTTGCTGGCATTTTAAACAAGTCTGTGTCCAGTGTTTTATGTCACTGGACATTTTTGGCCAAACGAAACGATCACTAATCATCTTAGTAGTCGCTCTTCGACCAGGGTGCGACAGAGAATGGAAATGTTCGAATACTTTTTTTTCGCAAAGAAGGTGGTACATAGGGCCTAGAGTATCTTGTGCTTACATCACAATAGACAGTAGTGTTACCAAATGGCACAGGTTGTTGCTTTAACTGTAGTGACGTTTTTTCTTTTACTGATTCCAAAGTAGTGTCAGTCTTTTGTTCTTCCGCTAAGGAGTCGAAATTCAAGGTCTGTGCGTCAATTCACTGTATCGTTGATCGCGATAGTGTATCAGCTACTATATTGTCAGCCCCTTTTACATAGCGGATATCCGACGTATATTGGGAAATATAATCCAATTGTCGGATATCCCTTGGGGTATATTTGTCCGACTTGGCGTGCAGAGCATAAATTAATGGTTTATGATCTGTATAGACCACAAAATTCCGTCCTTCCAAAAGATGACGGAAATGACGGATTGCCAAGTATATTGCCAGTAATTCCCTTGAAAATACGCTGTACTTTTTCTGAGATGAGTTTAGCTTGATTGAAAAGAACGAAATAGGTTTTTTAGCATCTCCCTGTTCCTGGTGAAGCACAGCCCCTATGGAGTCGCCTGATGCGTCTGTTGTCAGTGTGATCATTGAGTCATCATCGGTTATATATGATAACTTCGTAAAGTTGGCAAGGGCGTCTTTGGCTCTGTGAAAAGCAGTCAGTGATTCGCCTTCCAAGGTAATCTTTGAGTTCTTCTGACGCTGTTGTTTCAGTAAATCTGTGAAGGGAATCAGAATCTGGGAACAACCAGGAATGAACCTCCGGTAGTAATTAATGAGGCCTAAGAATCGGCGTAACTGCCGGAGTGAAGTTGGTTGTGAGAAATTTGAAATAGATTCTATTTTCTCAGGTAAGGGCGTTATTCCCTTTTCGTCAATGACGTGTCCCAAAAATTTAAGCGAGGGCACAGCAAAAATACATTTCTCTGCGTTAATCTTAAGGCCAAAATGCTGTAGACGCTGGAAAACTTGTTCAGCGTGGTGACGATGTTCAGTCTTGTTTCTACTGGCGATCAGGACGTCATCAATATAGGCAAAGGTGAAAGGTAAACCTCTCAGTACTTCGTCTATAAGCCGTTGGAAAAGATTGTGCGGCGTTCCTTAAACCAAATGGCATTCTCACAAATTCGTATAAGCCAAAAGGAGTAGTCATTGCTGTTTTATGGATGTCTTCCTTGGCCACTGGTATCTAGTGGAATGCTTTCACCAGATCAAGTTTGGTGAAGACTGTGGCGCCCTGTAGACCCACTGCGAAATCGTGCAAGTGCGGGATGGGGTATTTATCCGGAATTGTAGTAGCATTCAGCTTCCGGAAGTCGCCACAAGGTCTCCAAGCTCCTGAGTCCGGTTTTGGAACCATATGAAGAGGAGATGAGTAAGGACTCGAAGAATGTCTAATTATACCGAGGTCCAGCATGTGCTGAAACTCGTCTTTCGCCAGTTTATATTTATCAGGCCTCAATCGCCGTGGAGATGAATGCGTGGGTGGGCCCGTAGTATTAATGTGGTGCTCAGCATTGTGACGAACGGTTTCTGTATACCGGAATGGTGTTGTAATTTGAGAATATTTTTGTAACAGATCCTGCATTCCGCTGGCTTCAGGTAGAGTTGCGCTGATACATGTGCTCGTATAAATAGATGTAATTCCTTTCCTTGTAATGTTGGTCGTTTTATCCTCCAAAGAAAGGGAAGACATATTAACGGACAAGTTAAAGTGGGCGAGGAAATCCGCTCCTAGGATTGGGGTTCGAACTTGGGCTATCGTGAATACCCACGGAAAAGATCGCCTAAATCCCAGATTTAGGGTTAAAGAGGTTTTACCATATGTCTGGATTGAATATCCATTCGCCGCTTGTAACGTATAATCTGTCTTTCTAGTTAACATATTAGGTTTGGCCGGTATTACACTAATTTGTGCCCCAGTGTCCACTAAAAACAAGTATCCGGAGTTCTCATCTCGGATGTAAAAGAGACGACTTTTTGGCATCCCTCCGGCAGCAAACGTCACTACTTGTTGCCGGGATAATCGTTTCCCGACTGCTGTGTGTTGTTATCCTTAGCTGCGTTTATGTCGAAGTTACACGGTTTCGTACAATGCCGCGCTTGTTTTCCATATTTAAAATGATACCAACAGGTATTAAATATAGGCCTGCTTCTGGATGTGGAACGTGATCTTCGCCTAGTATGATGTGATGGACGTGGTCGACTAGTGAAATTGTTGGGTGTGCGATTTTGCTGATGCATAGCGGTTTGTAGAGCTTGTAACTGTGAGGTAAGCTCTGCTATACAATCTTTAATTTTCGATAACTCTTGTGAGTCACGGACTGAAGAGACAATAGGTTGTAGTGGTGTCGCAGAAGCAGTTTCTCATATATTTTGTCCGCGATTTCTGCCAATCGCTGTAGGTCCAAATCGTCCGGGAGTGACACTAATATTTGTGATGTTTGTGGGCTCAGTTTATCCATCCATAGTTTACGGAGGACTGTGTCAGACATGGTATTGTCACCTAGTAAAGCTTTCATCTTTCTAAGCAATTGGGAAGGTTTATAGTGTCCCAAATGAAGGTTGTTAAACAAATCGTGCAACCGACGTTCCTCTGATTCGCCCGTGCGGTATAGTATAGCATCTTTCAAAGTATCATACGGTTTCTCCGCCGGCACTTCACTGAGGAGGTCTGCTACCTCTAATGCTACATCTTAGGGAAGTTTCTCAACTACAAAAGCGTAACGGGCATGTTGAGACGTGACCTTTCTTGCATTAAAAATTGCGTTTAACTGCGCAAACCACATTTGAACGTTGGTGTGGTTGTACGTCGGTAGACTGATGGAAATTGCCGCTTCAATATATTCGCTGGTAGAATTTCCCATTGCTTTCGTTTAAAACGTGACAACTAAAGTATTTCTCTTATAAAATGCTGTTTTTAAAATATTGCTTTGCACATTTGAACTTCGGGGTCACCAATTTATAGTGGGTCAGCCAATTTGCTTAATCTTTCAAAGGGTTGGCTTGCTTTTATGAATGTTTCAGGAGGCATTTTAATGAATCTAGGCTTTATCTCAGAACACACCTGACATGACCTGGTTATCGCTCTTACATCTTCTACAGAGTATGGCATATTTTTACTTCTGACAAAATGCAGCATTCGGGTTACCCCAGGGTGACATAAATCTTTGTGCAAGATATGTGGTTTGTCAGCCGAGATGGTAGAAGAGCAGATTCGTGATAACGCGTCCGCAGCAGCATTTTGTTTTCCAGGACGATAGGCTATGTCGTAACTGAAACAGGCAAGTTCTAATTTCCATCTAGTGATCTTCTCGTTTTTTATCTTGTTTTTACTTTTAAGATCGAACATGTAGGAGACAGATTTCTGATCCGTGATGAGCTTAAAATGTCTTCCGTGTGTCGCCACTTTCGGATCGCTTCTACGATTGCATAGGCCTCCTTTTCAACTGATGAGTGTTTTTGCTCGGCAGAAGTTAAAGTTCTTGAAAAGAAAGCTACAGGTCGACGGTTTTGGGTTAGAGAGGCAGCAATAGCATGTTCCGAGGCATCAGTCTCAATCTCAAAAGGTAGAGTAGAGTCTATAGCCATCAGGGACGATTTTGCGATCTCCTTCTTTAGATGCCTGAAGGCATCCGTTTGTTCTTTAGTGAGGGGAAAATGGGTAACTCTAGTTAAGGGATGTAATTTTTCGGAGAAATTTGATATCCACCTAGAATAGTGAGAGAACATCCCCATTGCTCGTCGGAGAGAAGTATGGTCTTGAGGTACTGGCAGATCCACCAATCCTTTGAGTCTGTCGTGGTCAGGTTTTACTGAACCCATGCTTATGGTATACCCAAGCAAGTCCACTGAACTAAGTGAATAATCACATTTCCTTTTATTCAGTGTTAGGCTGTACTTTGCCACAATGCTCATAAATTTCTTTAGATTGTTGTCATGTTCAGCCTGGTTATGGCCACAGATGGTAACATTGTCAATATAGGCGTAGGTTCCTCGGAGGTCTTCTCGCTTGATAATGTCATCGATGACTCGTTGGAAACTTGCTACTCCATTGGTCACTCCGAAAGTGATTCGACAAAATTGGTACAGAGACCCAGCAGCTTCGAAGGCAGAATATTTTCGTTCTTCTGGCTTGATGGCAACCTGGTGATAGGCACTGGTTAGATCAAGTGTGCTAAATACCTGATAACAGGCAATCTCATTTACCATGTCCTCTATCCGAGGAAGTGGATAAGCATCCAGAAGAGTGAACCGATTTATCGTCTGGGAATAATCCACGACGAGTCTCTTTTTGTGATTTTCAGGAGACACTACCAGGGTTTGGGCTCTCCATGGCGATTGAGATGGCTCTATAATTCCCTCCTTCAGCATCCGCGATATTTCTGAACGAATGAATTTAGCGTCAGGTAGGCTGTAACACCCACTGTGAGCTCCGTACAATTTCTCCGGCGGCCGTTCTCCACGCTGTGATGTTGCCGGGGGTTGGTTGAAAAAGTCGAAGTCTCAAGCTGGGGGCACAAGATAAACCCTTGAAAGAATGAACTTCCACAGCTTAGGTGAGTTTAATCAAGCTTTATTTCGTCCAGACTTAGTCTTGCCGTTGGGGTAGGCGATGTGACACTCAGCTCTAACTCTAACTAATGGAGATCAAATGCCGAACCGACCGACTCAGACGAACGGAGTTTCACTTCTTCAGTGTGCCTGACACACGTGGCTACTTCAAGCACACACCGGCTGAACTGCCCGGCTCGGAAAAATCACTCGTATTTATATTGAACTAATCGAAGTCCCTAGACCACCGGGTGAAAACAAAAGATAAGCATTGGCGACTGTAAGTTAAAAATTTCAAAAATACTTAACTTTTGCTTTTTTGATGTGTAAAAATCCCTGTCTGTAATCGGCCTCCCACGATATATTTTCCAGGATTTTTAAATCTTTTTATCTTAACAAATCTTCGTGTGAAGGCCGTCGGATGTTTTATAGCCCTTTTCTTTTTTATTATTGCCTGGAGAAAGGGAAAATTCTGTTATCTTTTCTTTATTTCCTTGTGTTGCCGAGATACAGTAAAGAAGGTTTTTTGACCTGGTCATTTAAAAATCTATTTCCTAAACGTTTATCTTTTATCACATCTAATCACTTAGTCAAATATTTTATTGGATGACTGGTAGGATTTAACAGTAATCTGATGCCCTTTTCTCTTCCACAAATTTACTTATAAAAGAAAAAAAGCGTTTATTTATTTATTTTTTCCTTTTCTTTTTCCTTAGTACTTTTGTTAAACGAAACACATGTTTTTAAACTATTTTTCTATTCTTAACTGTTTTCTATTCTTAATTTATTAAAATAAAATACATATTTTACAAATCAACTTTAATAGACGCCTAGTTATCGTGTCACATTACCTCCCCAACGGATCTTGTCATTTATGTTAATAAATTACAATAAACAAAAATAAAATCATGACACGATGCTTCTTCAGGTCGGCACGCCATCGCCACAAAAATTATTTTGATTCCACAGGGTATTCTCCTCCTCCTCCATAACCAAATTATGAACTTTCTTATTAATCAATTTGGCATTATTTACCATTCTTTTATTTCCTCAACCCATTTTTCTTTTTCCTTTTTTTCACAATCAATTCATCAATTTTGTCTTCGTAGCTGGTGGCATCAATGAATCCACGCAGTTGGTTTATCGCTACGTTTGAATGTCAATTCTTCGTTAATGAACGCCTTTCCCAACTTAAAGTTTTGCTTTCCGATTTACATCCATTCCCTTTTATTTCTGGAAGAGATTCTACTCTTGGTCAATTCAACTCCTGTTACCAGCCCTGAAAGATAAGCCACAAATCCCTGGGCCTTCCTGCTCCGTCATGATGGAAGTTTGCTGAGGACGCCCCCCTCCCAATGGGGTCAATGGCGCCCGACAGAATAATTGAAGCACAGTTTACCCAATAAAATCAAGAGAGAGGAGTGTTTTCACCCTCTCCCCCAAAGAAAAAAAAAGAAGAAAAAAATTAAATAACACAATATAACAGACATAACTCTGAGCAAGTCCACTGCTTAATTATAGAAGCGATGTAACTGTTCCTCATTATCAGTCTCTTTTTCAACTGTTTAAAGTTCTCCAAACCTATTCCATTTTCCTTTCTTACATTTTTTTCTTTTAAACAGAACAACAACAAAAAAAAATAAATGTTTCTAAAATGTTTCTTTCTGTTTTTCTCAAAAATATTTTTTCATCATCATTATCTCTCTTTTTTTTTCAAGCACAGTTGTTTCTTGCTCTCTCCCTTCCTCTTATTTTTTTTTTCATTTTTTTTTTTTTTTTCATTTTTTTTTTTTTTAAAGTACACACATTTTTCCTGTATGTGCATGCTCCTGGAGTACCCTGTCCATTAGAAGGAAGAGGAATATGAAATATCAGTTCTTTTTTTTTTTTTTTTTTTTTTTTAACCTCCAATCGTACGGCCGTTAATTGCAACCGTTCCTCTGCCTGGGTTCCTTTCTCAGGATCAGTTTCAGGGTTCTCTGTCCCTTGGGACTCCGTGGTATCAACAGGTGATCCACCCTTTTTGCTATTCAGTCCTCTCGCCGGCATAATTCTTCTACATCTTTTTAACCACTGCCTTCCCCAAACTACTTGAATTATCATTAATATTATCCCCACCAAAATACATCCCCCAACTGATAACAAGGCTACAGATTTAGTGGTCCAACTCCCCTGGGGAAAGGCCTCCCCATCTATCGTCTCTAGTTGATCAACTAAGTCTTGTAAATCGATTCTTTCTGTTTTCTCTAATAGTTGTGGAAGTTTCCTTGCAGTAAAATTCAACGATGTTCTAACGAGAGGTTTCCACAAGTCTGTCCAACGAGCCGATGAGATGTTTGAGAGAGCAAGGAAAGAATCTCTAGATTCAAATCTCTTCCGCTTGGTAAAAGGCGGAAGTGTGAAATATGTGCCGAAGGCTGTGCACCCCATAGGTAAGCTTATGATAGATAGGGGCGGGGTGGCTGTAATGGTTAGTGTTGGCCTCCTTTGCATACCTGGGACAAATCTAAATTTGTCTCCAACGCTACCGCCCACACCCCGTCTGTCAAGCCTATGGCTTGTGGCATCTATTTGCTTTTTGATACCTCTATGTTGCAGGTTCGTTCAATCTCCTCTTTGTTCCCATTAAATAACCCAAGTAAACAGGTTTGATGGCCTCCATGCTTCCAAGGCCACCCATTTTACTCATGTTACTGGTAAAGGTGTCACCCATTCCCTGATTTGAGCCAAAGTCCTTGGGTCCAAGGTTATTTGCACCCATGCCATAACCATCATCCATACCACTACTCATGTTACTACCCATTCCACCTCCCATACCACCAGCTCCGCTGCCCATGTTGGTAGCCCCAGTCATACCTGCTATACCAGACATGCCCCTATTGCCCGGCAACATTCCACCACTCATCTTGCCTGCCATACCCGACATGCCAGTACCCATTCCAGTGTTTGTACCACCTGACATACCACCCATATTGCCTCCCATACCTCCTCCCATATCACTCATGCCACTATAGTTATTCATGGGGCCACCACCCATATTTCCCATACCACTCATTCCCCTTCCCATGGCACCCCTGCCTCCATAGTTACCACCAGAACCTCCTCCACTTCCACCATCAAATCCACCTCCCATCTGTCCACCACCTGACATCTGATTAAAATTCTGCATTGGTTGACCACCAAGACCCAAGCCCATACCAACTGATTTCAAACCACTGGACAAATTAAATTTGGGGTGTGAAGTTTTGTCATTTGATGTATCCACACTGGTTTTGTCCATGCGTACAACCATAGCTCTGTCAAACAAAGTCTGGCTGTTAAACATAGAGATAGCTTGTACTGCTTCCATGGGGTGTTCAAAGGTGACAATTCCCATCCTCGGCTCTTGCCATTTTTATCTTGCTTGATTTCTGCACGTAGAACATTGCCTGCCAGTTTGAAGACATCCTTTAGTTTCTTCCATGTCACTTTATAATCAAGATTGGCTATAAATACTGTATTTGTGAGAGGTCCTTCAATGCCTAGATTTTGTAGAAGCTGTGGACTGGGACCAGCACCACCAGTACCACCACCAGCACCGCAGTTACCCATGCCACCCATGCCCATGGGGCCAGGACCTGTCAAGCCAGCTACCATTGAATGTTGCTGCTGCTGATTTTTCATTTGTTGCGTCATTTGTCGATCACTTTCTTTTTTCCTTTCTGACAACAATTTGCCTGTCTTTAACTTTTGTATCTGTGCATCTTTTAATAGCTTTGCGAGCTGTTACTTTATCTTTAAATTCCAAAAGACAAGCCCCTTTCTCGAAGTAACCTTTATCAGTTGGAGTTACCTGATATATTCCTTGCCTTAGGTTTTCTGCTGGTGACCGCCTTCCGTTACATGCAATAGCCGTGCGCGGCGGCAAAACAATGTCTTTAGTAGGAAGAACGACCACTTTTTTCATTCATCGGAGCTCCGAGAGGAATCTCCTTTCCACCTAACTTTAAGAAGGTTGGATTAAAGCTAATTTGAGCCTTATTGCTCTCCAACCAGTCTCGGCCTAATATCATTGCCCTACAGATGGTTGGGGCTACATAAAATTTCTGCATAGTGGATACCCCTCCCACACTTATAGGCAGGGATATCGCACCGGTTATCCTTATTTCTCGTCCGTCTGCCTGAATTATCTTCATATCTGCAGCTTCGAGTCTCCTATTTTTTTGGTTTAATGCCTTGAAATCTTTTAATCTCAAAATTGATATGCATGCCCCCGTATCTAATAATGCCTGTACGTATTTGCCGCTCACCAGCACATCACAAGTTGCTTCAGTACCTTGGCTGAGCAACGCATAACTTCGGGCCACCCTTACATCCCTCGGGGTGGCCCTTCCGCGTTTCCCGATTGTCGTTCGGTTTCTTTTCTGGCACGTAAGGGCCCCCTCCCTGACGAGGACATTCCCTCACCAGGTGCCCCAGTCGACCGCATCCCCAACATCCCGGTCTGCCAGGAACTGGGCTTGACTCTGTCCAGCTCCTCTGCGGGGTATGGTTTTCCCAATGGTGATCCGTCCCACCGTACCTCCACCGTTCCCTATCGTTCTGGGGAGGTCCTACATATCTTCCATCACACTGCCCCCGCGCCCCCCACATTTGCTCCCGAGAGGTTGCCAGCCTTTCGTGCAGCCTGAGGCTCCGCTGTGCTGCATTGAATGCCTCCGTCAGAGTGGTTGGGTATGCCCTGGCTGTGTCCTCTCTCACGAACGAGTTTTCGATTGCGTCCGTGAAAAACTCAGCCAGCTGCATCTGAATTACCTCGCCCTCTCGTTGAACTGCGTCCTTATACGCTATCTTAGCCAGCCCTAGAATCCTACTCGTTAGTTCTGGCAGAGTTTCTCCGTCTTTCTGTCTAACCTTAATTAAAGCTCTTGCAGCATTAGCTGCACTAAGTACAATCACCATATTGATGAGTTAGCTGTTTCAAAAGTTCATCCCAACTGAGTAGTCGTAGGCGACATTAACCATCTCTGCCTGCGAAAGCTTGTGTATTCTACTCTTTTTTTTTATGGCTTCAACCCAAGCCTGGAATTCGGAAGATCTACCTTTAAATACAGGTATTCTCGACCCACTTGATCCGATAACATGAATCCTATCCATACTAAACTATTACAATTCTAACAAGTGGCAAAAGAAAGAGAGAAAAAAAATCAAAACCAATACCAAGAATATGCCAGCGAGAATTTTGAACAGACAAAATTAGGGAGTAAGGAATTCGGCTTACCTTAAGTGAATCAGTGCTTGTTGATTACGGGTTCCCTTTTCTTTCTTTGTTTCTTTCTTTCCTTCTTTTTTTTTTTTTTTTTTTAAAGCTTATACCAAGCAATTAGAATGTCTTTTAGTGGGTGTGACGATCAAAAAAATCTAAAAGAAATTCTTCTGTCTGCTGAGGTTCCTAGAGTGATTCTTCATTTGGTCGTTAGAGTGCTTCTTCCTTCAATTTCCTTTTTCCGTTCGTCTTGTTTCGTTTTTTGTCCAGTCGCGTCGGTTCGTTGAAATCCAAACTTTAGCATCCAGTGGCACTTCCGTGGATTCCGAATCCTGGGTTAACACGGCACCAATTGTAACACCCACTGTGAGCTCCGTACAATTTCTCCGGCGGCCGTTCTCCACGCTGTGATGTTGCCGGGGGTTGGTTGAAAAAGTCGAAGTCTCAAGCTGGGGGCACAAGATAAACCCTTGAAAGAATGAACTTCCACAGCTTAAGTGAGTTTAATCAAGCTTTATTTCGTCCAGACTTAGTCTTGCCGTTGGGCTGAGGCGATGACACTCAGCTCTAACTCTAACTAATGGAGATCAAATGCCGAACCGACCGACTCAGACGAACGGAGTTTCACTTCTTCAGTGTGCCTGACACACGTGGCTACTTCAAGCACACACCCGGCTGAACTGCCCGACTCGTATTTATATTGAACTAATCGGAAGTCCCTAGACCACCGGGTGAAAACAAAAGATAAGCATTGGCGACTGTAAGTTAAAAATTTCAAGGTACTTAAATTTTGCTTTTTTGATGTGTAAAAATCCTTGTCTGTAATCGGCCTCCCACGATGTATTTTCCAGGATTTTTAAATCTTTTATCTTAACAAATCTTCGTGTGAAGGCCGTCGGATGTTTTATAGCCCTTTTTTTTTTTTATTGCCTGGAGAAAGGGAAAATTCTGTTATCTTTTCTTTATTTCCTTGTGTTGCCGAGATACAGTAAAGAAGGTTTTTTGACCTGGTCATTTAAAATCTATTTCCTAAACGTTTATCTTTTATCACATCTAATCACTTAGTCAAATATTTTATTGGATGACTGGTAGGATTTAACAGTAATCTGATGCCCTTTTCTCTTCCACAAATTTACTTATAAAAAAAAAAAGCGTTTATTTATTTATTTTTTCCTTTTCTTTTTCCTTAGTACTTTTGTTAAACGAAACACATGTTTTTAAACTATTTTTCTATTCTTAACCGTTTTCTATTCTTAATTTATTAAAATAAAATACATATTTTACAAATCAACTTTAATAGACGCCTAGTTATCGTGTCACAGGCTATGTCTCCTGGATTTTACTGCTATTGGATGACAGTCAGAAGTTAGATTTGCAAACAGAGAGGGGTAAGGGACATTATTAATTGCAGATAGTCCACAAACAGTGAGAGGTGGAAGCAGTCCCCCGAAAGGTATTTTCACTGAAGAATGCTGACGTAGAAAATTATGCCCAAGAATGACATCACAGCATAAGTTAGCCATAACAGACAACTTGACATTACTGTACTCTCTACCGCTTAGATTGAGAGATACTATACAATGTCCAAGAGTAGAGGATGAATGGGAACTGCTAGCCATAAAAATTCTTTCTGAACTTGGCGAGATAGCCAATCCGAGCCTTTTAACCTCGTCAGAATTAATAAAATTTTCAGAGCTGCCAGTATCAATAAGTATTTTTAGAAACTTGCCTTTGATTTTTCCACGCAAAGTCGTGCAAGATAGACTCTCTGAGAAATTATGTGATGGAATGGAAGACGCAAGAATAGACTCACCGTGGTTGATAGCAGCTGCAGTAGGTGATCTGCAGACACGAGCAAAATGTCCTTTCTTTTGGCAATTTTTGCAAATGGAGTTTCGGGCAGGGTATCTAATTCTGTCATGTCTCTGATTCCCACAGAAGAAGCATTTTTGTCCAGAGATGGCGGCCACGGTATGTTCCTCATAGCCCCCAGGCTGATCTTCATCGTCGGTTACCTCAGTTTGAGCAGTAGAGGCAGAAGCGTTTAGTGAGTTCTGTTGAGAGTATGATGCTAATTGTTTCTGTGCCATCTCAAGTGTTAGCGCCTGGTCATAAGCGGTGCCTAGATCTAGTATTTTGTTCTCCAAGAGTCGTTGTCTGATGTGATTAGACGAAATTCCGTTTATAAACGCGTCTCGTATGTATTCGTCTCTCGCCTGTATTGCAGTAACAGCCTGGAACTCGCAATCCTTGGCGAGTTTCTTTAAAACTTGCAAATACTGGTCTACACTCTCGTCTGTTTGTTGACGACGAGTAGCCAGCAGATGTCTACAGAAGATGGTATTTCTAGGCTGCACAAACACTCCTTCCAGAACGTCCATGGCAGAATCGTAATTGTCCACGTCGGAGATGTGTTTAAAGATAGTGGGAGAGACAAGGTTGATAAGTAAATTCAGTTTCAGCCTGTCTGTCAGTGGAGTCTTGTTGTGATTCACCGGCCACTTCGAGAAAGATATGGAAGGATCTTTTCCAGTGTCGCCATGTGTCGGCTGAGTCAGGTTTATTCGGGTCTAGATCCAGGCGTTGTGGCTTGAGATATTTTTCCATCTTGATTGATTTCTAGTAGAATAAATTGTTATGAAAATGGATTGAGTGGAAGTGAAAGAAAGGCTGAATCAGTATAGCTTGAGTGAAGCTTTATTCTACTAAAAATCTATTCCGGTAGCGAACCGTAACAGGAAAATGGCCGACTACCTCATGGAGAGAGGAAGACAAAACAAAGGAAAATCATTCAGTCCTGGAAAATCAGAGAAAGATTAAAGAGTTCTTCTATTTTCACCACAGTGTGAAACATTCTTCGGGCGACTAACTGTCCTTGATATTACATTCTATGAGACGTAATCTTCGGACGACCCACTATCCTGAAATACATTCTTCGAGATACAACTTTCACATAAAAATTTGCTGATGATATTCACTAAACATTACTTAGTTATCACTAATAAGCAAATTTTTCAACTTGGCCACGACGTTCTCACTCCAACATAAATCAGCATGCATTTCGACTCACTGAATTTACGCGGAGCATTGGAATTAAAGCAAGCATTTAAACACAACAGCGTTTTTATATGGTGTGGGTATATGTGTAAGATAGGACATATCGATATAAGATTGACAAGAACACGTGTGAACGTTAAGACATCTTTATTGCAACTGTCGTGTTAGTAGTGGTTAAACAAACTTGATGCTGATTGGCTAAGGGCCACTGTCCCTGTGGTAATGAGTGGTAAAGGGGAGACGATCCATCTCTAACATTTCCGGTTTTTTAATAAAAAGTGTTTTATTCTCTATATTTTGCTGGAAGCCTTACAATTCTTCCACTTCTTGTTTGGTTATAGGTTTGAGAATGTTGTTCTTGTTGTTGTTTAGAGTGTTTTGTTTGACTTTCTTGTTCATTGAATATGTTTTCATAATCGACTTGTGTTGAGGAAGTGTTTCTTGATTGTTTTTCATTTGTTTTTAATAAGTGACGTCTATTACGTCGAAAGTAGTTTCCTTCTTCTGTTTTTACTAAATATGAACGAGGTTCATTCAATTTCTTTACTACCCTTCCTTTCTTGTTCCAATTCCCTTGGAATCTTATGCGAACAGTGTCGTTTGTTTTCAGAGTTTCTAGTTCCTTGCTTTTATTTACGTTTTTATCTGCTTGGCATTTCTTCATTGATTTGTTGTGCCTTATGTTTGGAAGGTTTGTTCGAAGTGTTCTCTTCATTAGCTGTTCCGCTGGGAAAGGTGATTTATCTTTCAAAGGTGTGGTTCTCAATGATAACATTGCTAAGTAAGGGTCCTGGTTGCTTTCAAAAGACTGTTTTAGGCTCCTTTTTATGGTTTGAATATTTCTTTCTGCTAGTCCATTCGCTTGTGGATAGTTCGGACTGGTCGTTATATGTTTAAAGTCCCATTCTTTAGCAAACTGTTTGAATTTTGATGAACCATATTCTGGACCATTATCACTAATTACTATCTGTGGTATACCCAACCTGGCAAAAGTGTGTTTTATTTTGTCTATCACCGTTTGTGATTCGCAATTGTTGAGTTTATGTATATCGAAGTATCTCGTTGTGTAGTCTATAATTACTACGTATGACTTATTATACAGATGAAATATATCTGTAGCTACCTTAGTCCATGGTGTTTTAGGTATTTTATGGTGTATTATCCGTTCCGATGGTCTAGGCAGTATGTGCATGTAGACACCATTTCTTTAATTTGGTTGTTGATGTGGGGCCAATATATGACTTCCTTCGCCCTTGCTATGCACTTTTCTATTCCTAAATGCAATGTGGATCTTTTGTAATGCGTCTTTTCTCAAGCTGTTCGGAACCACTATTCTTGTGCCTTTTAGTACAAGACCTTTTACAACTGATATTTCATCACGAACAGGCATGTATGACGCAATTTCAGGTGGTATTTCATTATTTCTTGGCCAATTCGACGTTGCGTAGTGCGTTAGTTTTTGTAATATTGGATCTTTTTTGGT